TGGAAAAGGCAGCGGCGATAGGCAACACTAGACAACTTTTCCGCCTTATTAAAGAAACCGGTATTAAGAACCCGAATGTGAGTGAGACTATCTCGGAAAAGGATGGTCTTATTATCCATTCTCAATCCAGGAGACTGGATCGATGGGCAGAACACTTTAGGGATCAGTTCAACTGGCCACGAGCCACTCTTCGGTTACCCACGATCTCCAGTCATCCTGAATGGCAAATCGACCTAAGTCCCCCTAGTCTTAATGACGTTGAGAAAGCGTTAGGAAATCTGAAACGAGGACGAGCTGCAGGTCCTGATAGACTGACCCCTGAGATATTTAAAGATGGTGGTCCAGTTTTATCAGCTAGGTTGACTGAGATCTTAGGTAGAATCTGGGAACTGGACGTAATCCCATCCGACTGGTCTCAATCCTTGATTGTCCCAATCTATAAGAAAGGACAGAAGTCTTCTTGTGACAATCACAGGGGAATAAGTCTAACTAATATAGTATCTAAAATATTGGCCTCAATAATACTTCGACGCTTAACGAAAGCTCGTGAAGAGCAGACTCGAGAAAACCAGTCTGGTTTTCGACCTGGACGTGGCTGTATAGACCACATTTTCACACTACGACAGGTCCTGGAACATAGACATACATTTAGGCGTCCTACAATAGTTGTTTTCCTGGACCTTAAGGCGGCATTTGACTCGGTTGATCGTAAGGTTCTGTGGCAGTGTCTGTCATTGAAAGGTGTACCAAAGAAGTACATTAACCTTATACAAACTCTTTACTCGAACACCACTGGTCGAGTGAGGGCTTATGGCGAACTGTCACCGGAATTCTCTACATCAAGCGGTGTCCGTCAGGGATGTCCACTTTCTCCATTCTTGTTTAATTTTATCATAGACATGCTCCTAGAATTAACATTATCCTCGTCTGAATTTTCTGGAGTAGACCTTCTACCAGGTGGCTCGCTTATTGACTTAGAATATGCCGATGACATTGTCCTACTTGGTGAAGACGCTGACAAAATGCAGAGTCTTCTGACTACCATAAGCAACAATGCAAGCATGTTCGGGATGCGGTTTTCCCCGTCGAAATGCAAAATGTTGCTTCAAGACTGGGTTTCATCGGCACCTGAACTAGTGATAGGGAGTGAAGTAGTCGAACGTGTAGACCGCTTCACTTATCTTGGGAGTCTCATCAGTGCCGATGGCCTGGTGACTGACGAAATCTCAGCACGGATACAGAAGGCTCGATTTGCTTTTGCCAACCTGCGTCACTTATGGCGTAGGCGAGATATCCGTTTGCTGACTAAAGGACGAGTGTACTGCGCAGTAGTTCGCTCCGTCTTACTTTATGGCTGTGAAACATGGCCAATGAGAGTAGAAGATATTCGTAGGTTACTGGTTTTCGATCATAGGTGTCTTCGAAGCATTGCTCGTATATCGTGGGACACCCGAGTGAGCAACGCTGTTATTAGGAATCGGGTGCTAGGTAAGAATGGCAGATCAATCGATGAAGTATTGAAACTTCACCAGTTGAGGTGGTTGGGGCATGTGTTGCGTATGCCCAACCACCGACTGCCTCGTCGAGCCTTGTTTTGTAGTGTGGGAATAGGTTGGAAGAAAGTTAGGGGCGGCCAAACCAAAACATGGCAGAAATCCATGAAGTCATTGACTAGTGGACTGAGCCATGTCGGTAATTGTCGACTACCTGGTTGGGGTCTACGAGATGATAATAATCGATGGTTAGAGACCTTGAATGACATGGCTCAGAATCGTTCGCAATGGCGCCGGTGCATTTATTCTCTGTGTTCTCTCAAATGCTAATCTTCTGGATTCTTCGACCCCTCTAGTTTCGACTCTCTAAACTTTTCTTACTGAATCATACTTCTTGAATAGTATCTTCTAATCCTAACCTCCGATTATTTCTAATTCCCTTACTACCTCTTCTACTATTGGATTTGAATTGACGATTACTTCTCTGTGCTGATGTGGTATGGCAACATGAACTGATGTACTTATGTACAAAGTTCTACGTTGCATCTGACTGACTGACTGACTCCCACTGACTGCAGTTCAGACGAGGTGAAAGATGGGTTTTACAGGAAGCTTTCGGACCTCTTCAAGATGTCGTGCGCTCTGTTATAGTTATAATGGCTGGTGACTTCAATGCTCAAGTAGGTAGATTAAGTGAGAAGGAAAGACACCTGGATGGATCTTATAGTGTCACGGCTCAAAGAACAGACAATGGCAACCGTCCGCTGCATCTATGCTCAGATAACCGCTTATTCCTAGCAAACACTAATGTTAAGCATAAGGAAAAGCATCTCTTGACCTGGCGACTCTCAATGTCGTCTCAACATTGGACCCAACTAGATCACATCACCGTCAGCCAACGATGGAGGGGTTCGATAGAGGACTGTCGCTCGTTCTGAGGCGTATGCTTCGATTCAGATCATGCTGTAGTGCGAGCGCGTATTTGTTTGCGCCTTACTGGACGCTAGAAAAATATTGCAAGGAAACATCTTAGCGCTCTACCAAATGATAATAAAGCTAAGAATATATTTCAGGATTAACTAGAAAAACAGTTAGGCGGCCATGTAGTATGTGATGCCCACCCTGAGGCAGCTTAGAATGACATCCAAAAAGCTGTAGAAACAGCGGTGATATCTGTTTGTGGGGAACCATTAGGCTAGGAAAAATTCGTGCATCTCAGTAATATCCAGCAACAACAGTTACATCCACCGAACTGATTGACGCTCGTAAAATCATCATATCTGGCTCTGAACATGACGATGAGCGAAGTCAGCTTAGGCGCAGGCCGATAAAATGCCTACGCAATGATCGCGAACAGTGATGGGTAGCGAAAGGAGAGCTATGGAAAAGGCAGCAACGATAGGCAACAGTAGGTAGTTGTTCCGAATTATCAAGGAAGCCGGTATCAGGAATCCATTTGTTAGTGAAACCATCTCAGAAAATGATGGCCGTATCATTCATTCTCAATCCAGGAAATTGGATCGATGGGTTGAACACTTCAAGGATCAGATCAACTGGCCTCCAGCCATACTTCCGTTGCCCATGATCTCTAGTCAACCTGAATGGAAGTTTATGCATATCCTCAAGCTCTTTATAAAGTTCAAATCCTATAAAAAATCTGAAGCGATGGAAAGCAGCAGACTCTGATAGGCTAAGCCCTGCGATTCTTAGGGACGGTGGTCCATTTTTAGCAGTTAGATTGACTCAAAATCGCTTGCTATAGCGCAGGTGCATCGATTCTCTGTATTCTCTCAACTTCTAATTTTCTGAATTCCTCATCACCCCTACCTACCTGTATTATACTTATGAATAATATCTTCTCCATAACCACTAATTCTTCTACTACCTCTACCACTATATGGTTTGAACTGACAACTGCGTCTCTGTGCTAATGCCGTATAGCAAACTGAGCTTATATACGTACGAAGTTCTACGCTGTAATTGATTGGCACGTCAGCTTGGAATGTTGTTTTCTACTGGTAAAAAGTATCAACATAGATACACCCTAGTAACGCTATTTTCAAATTTATCGTTCATGATGGAGATTATCACAAATTTAATTATTTTTCTATCACTTTACAAATGTAAAAAAAGCAGGTTATTAACTTCATACGTCGAAAAATACCTCTATTTGTTTCGTTCTACGATATATAACGCTGTGATTATTAATGTTCTTCCGAAGTGAAACAGCTTACCGAATTAAAGATATAGAGGAGCCGAGACAATATTTAGATGAGAATATAATAGAAGAAGTCATACCTCAAGACAAGTGTCTTATTTAAAGTCTTTTCAAATTATCAATTATATTTGGCATCAACACAAATCACAGGCTATGTTCCACGTGACCTCACTGTGTGATAACTACTGTGAAGACAATCACTATAAGAAACTATAAGCATTACATTGACATACAACTGTTCCATAAAAATCAAGTTCTCGGAAAGCATTGACGGCATTAGATGTTCTAGTAAAAGTCGTGAGTGTTTTATAATGCTTAATTTCTTCCAAACAAGATTTTTCGAATCACTTAGTTGTCTCGAGAAATGGGTTATATTTCTTGAATAGAATATCACAATGAACTTATTTTGAAGATTGCAAGATATATATTCATGTATCTAGTGAAGCACTTATTACCTGCATTAACCAGGTAACTCAAGTACTTATATTCCTCATTAACATGGTAACGTATCAGGAGTAGACACAGAACACATTCCACGCATGTTGTTATGGACAATATTAAACATAACATATTAGTGACATGTAGCCGAATTATATCAGTCTACCAAAGACCACAATACAGGTGCTGTTTAGCTGCGTCATTTCCAAGTCCAAATAAGCAACAGTATTTTAGAGAAAATCGATACCAACATTAGTCTTACCTACATATTCTTTCAAGAGACATTAAAGATGATTGATAACTTAAATCATTGAGTACAAGGCCACTGCAACTTTGTTAATCAGTGGCAGTCAAATGAGATCAGGATAACTAAATACGAAATACAGGTAAGGCATTATACTAGATCAAAGAAACGACTGTTTACAGAATATGTAGTCATTATGAAAATAATATAAATGAACGGGTCGCATACGGTTAGATCTCATCCTAGTAAAACATATCATATAATCTTAATGCTACCAATGTAAGGCATACTAATGAGTAAGTGACAAAAGCTCACCTCTGATTGGCAGTACGGTGATTATTTAATAGTTTCAGAATAATATCTAATCTAGTAATTGTATGTCAAAAGTAAGGATGCCTAGGTTTAACCTACAGTTAGTGAGGAAGTCCTATAGATCGTGAAAAATGGCTTTAAAATGACTTGTACAACATGCATTTCCAAAATGCAGCTATTCGAACTTGTGAGACGATTTAGACTGAAAGATAAGCCTGTCTGCATGACTATACTGTTTGTAAAATGAATAAGTCAAGATGGATCGAAAATTTTGTATTTTGTTTATTTATAAATATCAACAGCTATAGCGAAAAACAGTTAAAAATTCGTTATGAACCCGTCTATGCAGAATTTCTTTTGGGTGGATTCTTCCATTAGATAACTCCTTCATTATACGATGTACTTGTTCAGGGCAGTTATCTTTCGATAACAGTAAATAAATGCAGCCATGTGGTGAGAGCAAACTGTAAGCTTGATTTAAAAATGGGTCAATCACCTGAAATTCAGTTAAGCAAATGCAACATACAAATAAGGGGGTTAAAAAAGAGGAATAACTAACCAATTTACTTCGATATCCCAAAAGCAAACTATGGTCTAAAATAATATGGAGAGATCTTTAGCAAGCGTTAAATATACATAATACATTAATATGAGAAAGTCCCAAAATATTAAACTAATCCTAGATTAATAGAACAGCTTCCAGAAGCAGGTAAGTTATGCTAGCAGATTTGTACTTAAAGATGAGAAATGCAGAATGTAAGCAAAGGAGAAGACATTTGGCAATTCCATACAAAAGATTCAAAATGAACTTCACTATTTTCTTCATCACTATCTAGAAGATACTGTTTGGTGGACAATCCAATGTATTATCGTGTTGACTAATGGCTGTGTCTCGGTTTACATCTACACAATAAAAACATCGTGCACAGCTATCAGTAAAAAGAATGATGAGAGAATACTATCAAATTGAATGAGTTCTTCCTAAAACTGTAATATCCATTAATTTCTGTGATATCGAGGCACCAAGGCTTGTAAAAAAGCCCAAAAATACGCTTATACCTATAAGGAGATTTGGAATCACAAGTTTATAACTTTCAAATGGACAACAAACCAATAAACTAGTCTTACTTCTCTTCCTAGTGGCCCACCTGACCATGAAGCAACTATAGTTGAACCAGCCGCTTTGTGTTCGTCTATAGTTGTCGGTACATAGGGAGGATTAAACATGATTAAATCTACACTTTTATATAGTCTAGACAAGAGGGGAGTTGCTAAAGAACAATTAACCACATCGTATGTCACCGATGTACTGGGAACGTTTACGTTAAGCACACGCAAAGATGCGTAACATGCCTAAAATGGTAAGACTATGATTGAATAGCTACATACAGTAAGAGATACGTCTGTACATATATGAACTAAAGGTTTTGAAATGGATGAGCACAAAAATGCACTGATAACTCCACTACCGCTCCCAATTTCAAGAGTTATGGTGGGATTTAATCCGGATAGAAATTCTGAATCCAATTCCAAAGCGTCCAAAAATAAGTATGAATCCTCAGATGGTGGATAGACTTCTGAGAACTCTGGTTTGTTTATACAAGATGTTATTGGGGTGGTCATGAGACAGATAGGTACGGATGCGAGGGACGGTTTAGAATAGACCTAAAATGTTGGAAGTATTGTGAAACGAATTATGATACTGACGTCTGACAACAAGCATTTTAGCAGTTTTATGAGAGTACTTTTTGTAAATTGTACACAACAAGATATGGGACGGCTAGGACTAGAGGTTCAACTTTCAACCGTCGCGTGAGATGGTTCATTTAGTCTAGTTTCAAAACCACGTGGGACAAGCCTTTGCATTAGGTGATCACAATCCACAAGATTCGTAAGAAAATATGGGGACGACAGCTTAGATGACTTATGCCAAACTACGAGTAACAGTGAAATAATAGGCTTGTGACCAAAAATTAGAATTTACCAATCGATTGACCTCAAGTGTTCCGGCTTTCCGTATTGGGGGAGCTAGGTATGTTGAGGGACCCAATAGCAGAAAAGAAGTTACAGGGCTACTTTGTAAGTTGTATTTGCTGTTTATTCCAATTATCATGATAAAACTATCAGGGACCACTAAGACAGACTCTCTTAAAGGTGAATATATTTTGTAACGGTAACTAGCTATTATGTATATAGAACACTACGGAGAAGGTAAAATTGAAACCAGTAATTACCGTCCTTTACGAACGATTTTTATTATGGCTGATCAGATCGATTGCGTTCACAACTCAACACATCAGGTCTACTTTCCGACACCAAACGAAGATGCCAGTACGAGCGATAACTACGTTTTTATACAGGTCATTACACAAACTGTAAGTGATTGTTAACTTTCAATCAAGTTTGACTGCAGCACCAACCAGTACATGATAACTATAGTTTATCACTATTTGACAAGAACAAATAAATACAGCTAATATAACCTTCAGTTTTTTGTTTAGTAAATTTTTAGATTGATAAAATTTATATCGTTCCTTTCATCCAATGTACATATAATCTTAAAACAGTTTGGCATGACTTGAATGAATATCTCGTAAACCACTTCAGGGGACTTCATTCGAGAAGAGAAGGACATGTAATAAAATTATAATATAAATTCAGTGTATTACTAACTTTAGTTCAGGAGTTACTGAGTGAGCAGAAGTCGAGAACTGAAACCAATAACCCTCGACTTTTTTGACCGACCCAACGACCTTGGAATATAAACATCCAATATCCAATATATTTTTCAGGAGCTAGTGTAAACCAAGTTGATTTCTTCGGGCTCGATTCATGTTCTTTCGGTACGGTTCCAGGTGTTCGGTAATGTCCAATGGATGGAGGTCTAGCCACTCGACTGTCTAATTCTAGTCAGTTGGCAGTTGGTTGTGAGTTTTTTGTCCTGTGATGCGAATGAAACGTTTGTTTCAGGGCAGTGGGGTTTCTGGATACTAGCAGCCGTCACATTACCAAACCGGAGATCAGTTAGTTGCAATGTGGGGAGTAATAAGGGTAATAAGGATAAATTAAAATGATAATATGAGTAAAATTTCAGAACTGAGTAATTTATAGATTAATTTAGTTTATTAGTTGGTTGTGAAGATTGTGAGAGAGGACCGAAGTGTAAGCAAGGGAGAGGAATAGGAGAGGTAGATTAATTGAGTGATCTGAGGAGATGGCAATGGTAACAACTAGCAGGTCTCAAGATATGCATCAGGCACAGCTTGACCAAGAGGGAGATGATAGTCCGTATGTGAGTACGTGATTATCAAGTCTCTTCCTAAATCAGTCTACTGGGAGGGGGCTGTAACTACCTCAGCTGGGAGAGCATTCCAAGTTGCGACGACTCGCAATGAGAAAAAGTGTGCACGAATCTGAATATTGATGTGCAATCTTTCGAGGATTGCCTCGAGGGGAGTGGTGGTGATGCATCGGTAAGATGCTCATATTGGGATGGTTTGGCGTGTTTAATATGGTGTACGCCATAATCAGGTCACCTCTGATTCTCCTGTTGCTCAGTGGGAATAATCCCAAGAGCTGGAGTCTATCGTCGTAGGGTTTTTTTTCAACCCCATCACTCATTTGGTTGCTCGTCTCTGCACTCGAGTTAAGAGATTAATGTCTCGTTTAAGCAGAGGGGTTGCGATGACCTTGTGAACCTCCAAGTGTGGGCGCGCGTACGTCTTATACAGGGTTAAAAATAATTTCGGGGTGATAGCACCAAGCTGTCTTCGCATAAAGTGAAGAGTCACATTTGCATTAGCTGCATCCCCTACATAGTTCGGACTCGTGTGGAGGCTTTCTGTGGTTATTAAACCAAGATCGCGCTCTGAAGAGACATTAGGGAGCGGACTTCTTTTGAGAGTGTAGGTGGTTTGCGTCATATGAGGCAGGAAATGCATGACGTGGCACTTCGGTTGGTTGATTTTTAAACCGTTTTTGATTGCTGAGATTTAAAGATGGGGTATTGAAGTCTCCGGCTAAGAGTATTTGATCAAACCCTAGGAGTGGCAGTTGCAGTATTACCTCAATCAGTTTGCTTTTCTGGGCCCTAGTACCCGAAGGAGGTCGGTAGATCCCTCCAATCAAGTATTTCGTGTCATTCGATTGGAAACAACACCAACATGATTCTGTCTTCTCAGTTATTTGGGTGTCGTATAGTCGCTCTGCTTTTAAGTTGCTATATATATATATATATATATATATATATATATATATATATATATCGCCACTCAACCTCGAGTTTGGTGTTCCCTATCGCTTCGGAAGAGTGTCATGCCTGGTAAGCTCACTTCTGCGTCTGCAATGTCAGGGGATAGCCATGTTTCTGTTATGATTATGATCTTCAGATCCATCTGAGAGCACATATTCCTGATTTTCAACAGCTTACCCCTCAGTCCTCTTACGTTGCTATAAAGGCACTTGGTGGTTTGTCTCAGCACCTGGCGCACATTTACAGCAGCAGCCTTTGTCCGGTTTTCAGACAAGTTATTTAAGCCGAATCGGCCAGTTCTATGGGAACTGGCCTCTGCAGGTTTTTTGCCTGCGCGGCTGGTTCACACATATCTTGTGCCAGAGGTAGTTGACCGACTTTAACTATCAGTTGTGTGCGTTCATTTTGGCCTCCCTGCTGCTGTCTCACAGATCTAGGTCGGCTCTCACAACATCTGATGTGGCTAGGCAGATCGTCCCTCGAACTGTACCGAGCTTGTAGTGTAACGGTCAGGTCTTCCCGGTTTCTAAATGTTACAGCCATCAGGCGTGGTGACTTGATAGACGTAAGGTGTGACGGGCGGGGCAACCTGGAGATGCAGACTGCCATCGGGGTGTGGAGGGATAGGCTACGCGATAGCCATCGCCACTGTTGCACATCGTGCTCGTGAGCTTCGTCCGGGTTACCGCTGGTGAGTTCGGGTATGCCGTGAACTACAATGGTGGTCTGTTCTTGGGTGTCTGGTGAAGTTCTGGCTGCTGCACGTACCGACCACGGCTTGTCATGCCTAATAAGAATCAGCGAGGACAATTTGACCGATGGTCTTTGGGATGAAAGGATTATGTTTTCAGCAAGTCGTGCCGAGTCAATAGTTACCCTCATTGGAGGGGGTTTTCCTTTCGAGACATTTTGGCCCTTGAAAAGGCGGCATATTTTAGCTGGGGCCTCGCACATTCCGAGAATTGAGCAGAGCTTATCCCATTGCTCTTTGTCGAAGGCAGCCCTACCTTCTAGCAAGCTGCCTTCCGACACTGGGACATTAAATAAGATGAGTGAGTTCGATCTGTCGTACCTGGTCTTGGGTGGAGGCTGCTTGTGAGTTGGGGTGTTGCTCTTTCCCTCCTTCACGTTCACCCATTGTTTCCTGTTGCTGGCAGATACTGGGGGGGTTAACAACAACCGGCAGTTTTGTCGGTGTGTCAGGCAGCGTTGTGGTAGCCTTGGTCACTTGTTTTACCGGTTTAGTGCCAGGCGATTGTGCTTTGGTAGTTTGGACTTTGGGGCTGGTTTTAGGTGGGACCTGTGGCTTTGTCAGTGCCTCAGAAACACTGCACCGAGGGCAGATGTACCAGAACCATGGGCAGGGGTGACTCAGCATGAAACCGTAGAACTCTTTAGGTACTGTATTGTCGCAGTGACAATGTACGCATGTATAAATGGATTTTTACCGCAGCGGTTCAAATGGTTTCCTATAGGTGCAATCTGAACGCGTATCTCCCGGTCCAATATTAAAAACACAACAATCCTAGGAGAAAACGGTCTATATTAATTAAAAGATGGAAATACAAAGCAATACCTGAAGTTGATGCACTTTCCAAGTCACAATTACTCCGAGGAGTATCCAATTTAAAGAGAATAAGTCCAACCGCCACAGTATCAATCCAAATATGGCTGTAGCCATATTAAAGATCAAATTTAAACAACATATATACAGTTCAGAAGCAAACATAAAAACTTCAATATAAGTACAAAATATAGAAATAATAACAATATATACAATGATAAAATCTCAAATTGGAATCAAATAAAATACCAAAATGTCAACAGAAAAAGTCCGTCATGTCATAACAAAAATATATAAACATGGAGGGATTTTCCAAAAAACAAAACATTCAAAAAGGGTTCTACACTGGCCCGCAAAATCCCTCCATGCAAAAAGAGCAAGCGTTAATGACACTTCTATTTAGGGTTCCCATTCATCCCCTTATCCACACCGGAAGAACGTGTAGGACTTACAGCAGTACGCCTACCCGCCATCCAACATGGATATGACCTATCAAGCTAACTAGGTACCTATACCTTCCCATCAGGCCCTTGGTTCACCTATCTATCGTAGCATGACCTAACGGTAGTATAAACCTTACCCAATTAACCCACACGAACATGTACAACACGTCGTAAAGCTGGTCATATCCTATCCGGGAACTACATTCCATATCATGAGGATGAGTCGTTAATCCACCACCACTTGCTCCGATCGGCAGATACAATGAAGTCAGTGATGCTGACTTATCAACAGAAGTTCTTGACCCATAGATAATATGCAAGGGTGGGATCTCCAATTTTGATATTTCCTCGTCTCCCGAAGACTTTAAGTGGCATAACATGGGACCAATATTTATCTCTCCATCTCCTGATACAGAGGAGGTTCGATCAGCATTCGTCATCGTCGGCAACTCATTTGTCACATCAGTGACATCCAGATTATTATCAACGTCATCATGATTCCATTGTGTCAGACAAGTTGCGTCGTTTCGGTCTGTATTAGCATCCGTAGAGTGAAACTCTTCCATTGTCGTATAACTCATCTCGCTACATGAAAGAACAGCATTAGTGTCACAATCCAAAGCCGATAAACTCACTTGTTGTTCTCCATGTTCCGTTTCAGAGACACAAGACGTATGCACATCAATAGCATCGTTATCATGCAACACTGTAAACTGACTGTTACCATCAGACGCTTCCTTCTCATCATCACTTGACTGACAGTCAACCGAAGTAGGAACACTTACAGCTACACAACCTTGTGTATCCTCAATCAACTTAACATTCGTGACAAGGTCCGATGACGTCGAAACACTAGAAGGCTCGTTCGATGAAGTTGATCGACTAATCACTATAAGTGGACTGCTGACACTTTCTGTCCCCTTATTATCGCTGTCACTACTAAGATTCTGATGACTACTATTTCCATTGCTAGTCATAGCATCCGAAAGATAATGACGTTTTGGCTTCTTAATAATAGTAGCATCGTGTTGTTTCCTAGGCTTCTTAGCCTTTACAGTACCATCATCACTTATCCTAGAATCTACTCTAGGTCCCTTTATATAATTTACCCTAAGTGAAGGGTTCCGAACATAGGCTTTATTCCGTCCAGACAATCCTGCCTGGGCCTTATTCATACTTACTGAACTCACTAACCTCTGTTTACTCGAATCCAAATAACCGTTCCAGGCTTTTCGAGCAGTTAAGAGGCTTTTATCATCACACACTTCCGATCCATCTTGATGCCTACACTTTTCACCTTTTTCTTTCTTTTCCATACTTAAAAAGGCCATCTTATCTGTCACACAAACCGGCTTCTTACTGGGATACGCATCAAGGGGTTTTACATCATCACGGTCACATACTCGGCCTTCAACAGCGTATACTTTCGTGATATAATTGACAACTCTCTTATATTCCGGGCGTGAGTTAGGTGCAAACGAAGAATCCTCATGTCTCGCACGCGGATCACTAATAGCATCCGTATTATGTCCTGTTTTAGCCCGATAAGCTGATCTCCCGAACCTACTACTAGCTATCTTAGCACGAGACATAATAAATTCCGTCAATTCATTGAAATTAGGCTCTCTCTCCTCTTCGTCCCACTTGATTCCCAGCTCTGCCCACTGGGCTTGCATTCGACGAGGTAAGAGCCTGACTATTCGTTCTAAAGTAACCAGGGAATTTAGTTCCGTTGTACAATTTAACTGTTCTAAGGTTAATGCCGCATTCTGCATCTTAATCGCCAAATTCGTCAATAGTTCAGGATCATTAAAATCCGCATTCCCGGTTCTAAATAAGTTCTCTAAGGTTTCCCGGGCTATTACATGCGACTGTCCAAAGAGCTGTTTTAAGATGGCCTTAGCTCTCTTATATCCCGCTTGTGGATCCATTATAATACAACCTTCAATCGCATTCTTTGCCTTTCCTTTACAATAGCGAATTAAATACAATAAACGCACATTGTCATCTTTTACTCTGGGTTCTATAAACGTTTCAATTTGTCGCATTAATTTAAAGTAGTCGCGAGACTTTCCATCAAAAAATGAAAGTTCGACCTTAGGTAGTTCTAAACCTATTATCGGTGTCCTAAGTATCTGATCCGTCTCTGGTACCTTAGAACTCTCACTTAAGCCTTGTTCCTTAATGCCTGCCAAAGGTGACTTACAATAATAAGTATCAGACATAACATCGTTATTAATAAAGTGGGTACCCATTAAACAAGCATCATTAACCACTTGCCTAGCGTTTCGGGGTCCTTCAAGCTCTTCCACCATCCTCGTGTTTGTTTTCTTCCGGCTGCTCATGTTTAAGTGAAGTTCAACGGAAGATAAATAACAAATACAAAATATAGGAATTCCACAGGTAAGAAATATCCAAAATCAGAAAATCGTTTTCCAAAATACAGTTCGAATACAAAAATACGATAAGTAATCCAAGATTCTTCTTTCAAAAAGGTTAGTGTTATAAACGATTAAATTTTCAAATGTTTCTTTATTCTTCTTAATAATCCGACTGTAATTGGTCTTCTAATCAAAAGTCGAGCCAACTCCAGACTATAAATGGATTTTTACCGTAGCGGTTCAAATGGTTTCCTATAGGTGCAATCTGAACGCGTATCTCCCGGTCCAATATTAAAAACACAACAATCCTAGGAGAAAACGGTCTATATTAATTAAAAGATGGAAATACAAAGCAATACCTGAAGTTGATGCACTTTCCAAGTCACAATTACTCCGAGGAGTATCCAATTTAAAGAGAATAAGTCCAACCGCCACAGTATCAATCCAAATATGGCTGTAGCCATATTAAAGATCAAATTTAAACAACATATATACAGTTCAGAAGCAAACATAAAAACTTCAATATAAGTACAAAATATAGAAATAATAACAATATACAATGATAAAATCTCAAATTGGAATCAAATAAAATACCAAAATGTCAACAGAAAAAGTCCGTCATGTCATAACAAAAATATATAAACATGGAGGGATTTTCCAAAAAACAAAACATTCAAAAAAGATTCTACATTACTCGTGACTTTTCTCTAAATTTAAATTCCGATCATTATTTTCATATCTCCTAAACAGTATTAGTTCTTCTTTCTAGTAGACAGACAAATTGAAAAGCCTGTAGATGCTGATGAACTACTGTCAATTACAAGGAACTCAAACACCGTGTATCAATGTGAGTATCTTCTTATTTAAGTATTAACAGTTTAACAAATCTTTATTTCCCCAATTCATTAACATGCAAACACCTTGCCTGCTTACCAACTTATCGCTTTACTCATTAATTTTTAACATTATTTCAACTCATTTTTTTCACTTTCTCCTCGTTCCAGCTCCCTGTCCTTCCTATTTCCAAACTACCCATTAACTGACTCATCTTACAAATGATACCATTCGTTGACTTAAAATCAGTGTGATATGCTATGCGGATATATTGTCTGGCAAAGTTGTCTGGATTGCTTGTAATATGGAGCTAGTAGAGAATGTTAATTCCGATAAGGCGTACAAAAAAATTGAGAGTAGACTAGAGACCATTATTTACAATCAACCATTAAACGTAAGAGAGCCTAACATCACAAAAGGAGGGAGGGTGGTGTATCTGACCAGCATTCATGACGGTGGGGCGATAACCTCAATCTACCCATGTCTGTGTGGCAGAACATTTTGTTTGCTTACGGCTCCTTACGATATAGCAGGATGTAACAAATCAGTGATATTGATGTTACTTTTCCTTGTTAACCTCGTCTACAACTCATGTCTGTAACCTTGCACTGGTTTTTACTTCCTACCGAGAAATCCTATTACAAGCTGCTCTGGACAACTATACTATAAAAGAGCTCACTCACGACTTCTTGAGCTACAGAGATGAAGAGAAACAGAATAAATAAAATACCACAAATTTTTAAATTACTGTGCCTCATTATTATATTTTTTAAATCAACATTATTAATAACAACTTGGTTCTTCTGAATTTCCACTATTCATAGGACTAACTTCCCATTAGTTCTCTCACTATTGAATTGTCTTCATTAACCTACATAAGTGCAGGTGTTTAGTTTTTGTTATGATATTATAAAAGTCTGAGTAAACATACCTTTGTTTTATCCATAAACGTATGTGGGAAGCCATTGTTCGGCTTTGAACAAGAATATTTTCTGTTCCGCTCCTCGTCCCGTTTTCCTTATTCCTCTTTTTTCAGAACCTTATTCCAATCCACATATATTAGTCTGGATATTTGCAGTAGACTTGGTTACCCTACCCAAGAACATGTGAATTAATTAGCTGATGAATATCAGCCAGACCTTTGTACATTTACCGCATCAATTCTTGTTATATGAAAACCTATCTCTACCATTAATCGTCTCTCAGTCCATAAGATGATTGTCGTAACGCAACCTTCTTAACTCGTGCCAGTTATTAGCGTTGTACATTCCGTTTATAGGAATCCAATGAACCTTGTGAAATGTTTCAGTAACTGTATGCTGTTTTAAAAGAAATATGTTGCTAATCTTAACATTTTGATCTAACCTGTAAATTGGCATGTCTCTTGTAACATGTTTGTTATTTGAGAATAAATTATTATTATTATTATTATTAGATATCCCATCCACCACATACACAAAGGTGCAAAGAACAACAGGTTTTAGGTCAACAGCAACCAATCAAGATTGACGTTAGCAGAACAAGTTACGGGTCAAACTTGGAGAAACTGGAATACTTCACTTTCATCTGAAGTTTGTGCTGATGATGTTATTCACAAGCGCAATGATAGCTTCACAACCAGAATATCTAGCTCGTACAACGAAACATCACCACAATCATCCACCTGAGCTACAAATTTTCTCCATCATCCTAAATAACCTCAATAGTGATGGCCTTTTATATACCAGTTTTAGTAAATGGTAAAACAACATCAAGCCTTGACTTTGGGTTTTTAGGTTTGGTTGTAATAATAATAAGTAATACAGAACTCGTGATTCCTGTCTATAACTCCTAATGATGGACATACTACGATAAATTTAGTGCATGAATAAAATATCTGGTTTCAAAAATCAGCCAATATTATTCGAATATTTGCTAACCATTTATTGATTAAATATCCTTCAATTTTGAAACTACTGTTCAGTCAGATGTAATTAGATTAGCCGGGGTTATAAAACTTTTTTTGTAATTGTTGACTTGGTATAATAGATAGAGTTTCATTTGGCGGAATAGAATGTTCACATGTATTTCTAATGGCATCCATTATAATATTGGATGTTTTATAAGGAGTACCAATTGGTAAACATAATTGTGTTGTTGTTGTTGTTGTGGATGATGATGATAAATAAGATAATAAGTTATGATTATCATCGATTGGATCTGAAGAAACATCAGTTGTATTATTATTATTAAACGTGTCATTATTGTAAATAGTTTCACATGATAAATTATCAGAATGATGATGATGTTGCTGATGATCAACTAATTCGTTTATTAAATTATCTGATGCTGCTACAACAGGCATAAAAATTAACTGTAACCGAATCGAATTTTGCATGTTCTACAACAGTTGGTTCCCATAAAGAAGCAGCAGCTTCAACGGCAGCAGTTAATTCATCGCCAGAATCGGAATCACATACTCCATCATACTGAGGTAAATATTGTTTTCCTGTTGTTGTATCATCTGTATAATCACCATTATTACTCCAAAACTTAATATATACTATGGAAGGTTTTGTATACGCTTTCCAATATTCAACAAGTACACGAATCTGAAATTTTCACGTATTTCTCCGTTCATTTAGTTGTTGAGCGTTGAATGTAAACATACAGTCTTCAAAATTGTCACAAAAATTTGGCCTTGAAATGAAATCTGTGGTGAAAATTACACAGTTAACTGTAATATTCACTCAGTAAATTTGGAGGGACATGTCTGTTTCTGAACGCCTATCGGAAGCGTGAAATCGAAAAGATAACCTGAAATCTATAATCATACTAACCTAGCCTTATTCTCATTTGTTCACGAAAATCGTTCGACTTTTCTACTCTACACTGTTCAGGTTCATGAACCAATCATATTTTCATTAAGAAACAAAATTCCAAGTACTTGTAAAGATTTGAATTTATCTATGAGCTCTCTCTATCTGTTGACGCACTGAACCGGTCGTACCTAAACATACTGTTGGATACGTTAGATCTTCAGAACTCTCTTGAAAAGGTCCTAATTACGTAACTGACTTCTGGAATTTTGAACTTCCATGTTTTCGCGCCAGAAAGGCTTCGTTGTCATTCAGCTTACATTTCCCACTTAGAAAGTCGACAATTGAAGCATCTCGTATGAAATCATAAATTATGTGATATTTGATTTATATAATATTTATACTGCCACATAACAACTAATTATTTAGAAAAATACTATTAATAAATAAATCAACGTGACAAAATAGAAGCATATGCATTCCCATTTTGCACAGTAACACTTTTTGACCTTCAAAAAGATTTACTATGAATTACATTTCACTTCATGACAGACATTAAATGTGGCAAACTTACTACTTTCATGACTACAAGTTTGCATTTAACGAAAATAGATTCTTCATAATCAGTTTTCCTGTATTAAAAGTAAGTGTATGCATGTCATGAATACAAAAATAACATATGGAAATGATAAATAAGACGAAATTCTGCACAAAATTTGAACGAAAATTCAGAGTACCAAACAGTTTTCTTTGACTCAGTGGTACTGTGCTAGTCAAAATGTTGTGACGTTGGCAACTCTTGCAGCTATTGCATTAAATCCAGCGTAGGGCGCACCACTTTGTTGGCTGCGTTGTATTCGACAACGGGCTCACAACATTGTCGCCTAGCTGCATTATTTATGATCAATCGAGTATGCTTTGTAATAAATCTCCCCGTCACTTTTTCAAATACTACACTTAGTCGAACTCCGTTTGTCCGACGGCGGTTATGAGAAGTCAAGTATTGATTCGTTTGGATGAGTTTATTTCAGGCAATCTTTCATGCAGACATGATAATGAAAAGCATACAAACAAAGAGAGGCCGCGCAAAATCGAAAAGGCGAATGAGCCAACTCAATTCGACTGGGCTTTACTAAGCATTTGTAGTGAGACAAAGGCAGCCAGACCTGTAATATGCACGGCAGACGTGCAACGAAGAGATGATCGAATGACTGAGGTCAAATTACTAGTGGGCTAATTAATTTGCCCAAAAACTAAGACAGTCTTGTTGGTTAGACATAAAGGCATCCACTACAAAGTCCTCTCATAGAAAATTGTACATCAATTTGAAAATAATGTCAGTTTTCGAAAATAACACTGAAGAGGTGAACGGTGAACATTAGGAGTAAGTTTACGATACGAGAGTGTAATAATTATGTTGCACAGTATATTCATATCGTAATGACGTGAATGTAATTGACAATGTTAGTATGCGATTATAGGAAAATTAATAAGAAAACTGAAAAAAATCAACATGAGTTTATGATTTGATGCGAATAACGAATGTGAAAATTTTTTTAATAAGCCACAGTAAAGTTAGGCTTGGATTAGTGATTAATTACTTTTCATTGACATAGCATTGGGTTTTCGTACATAGGATAGGGTCAATCGAGCCATCAAATGATAACTGCTCACTGTTGTACTGCGAATGAAAATAATTATCAAATGAGAAGTCGGTTTACGTAGTTGCTGGTAATTTTTATACTAAGATAAAAATATCGGTAGTTTCATAAGGGACCATCTTAGGTCCATTAGCGACCTGTTAGCCACAGTTAGCTCGCCGGCATTGATCTACACAGACGATGCAAATATCTGAAGGTCCATTAGAAGTGAAGAGGATTCGATTGAGTTCCAAAATGACCTTACACGCATCGAGGAATGTGCAGTGAATAACGGTTTGACCGAAGTGTCACGTCATGTACATTCTGCCCCACATGACGCAAACGATTTACAACCTCCACGGAAGTCTGCTCCCTAATGTCTCTTCAGAGAGCGATCTTGGTTTAGTAACCACTGTAAGCCTCAACACCAGCTCGAAATATATAGGGGACGCAGCCGAGGCGAATGCGACTCTACACTTTATGGGAAGACGACTTGGTGCTATCACTTCAGAATTATTCTTAACGCTGTTTAATACATATGCTCGCCCACACCTCAAGGTTCACAACGACATCACAGTCCACCTGCTTAAAAGAATCTAATGATTAGAGAGCTGAGATGAGCAACCGAATTGGTGATGTGCTGAAAAATAAGATTTACGAAGATAAACTCCAGCACTTGGGATTATTACCCTTTAATTACTGGTAGATCAGAGGTGATCTGATTATCGAGTACAACATATAAAGCACTCAAAACCATCTCAACGTAAGCATCTTACCGATCCATCACCACCACTCACCTCAAGGCAATTCTGTAAAAGTTGCGCATCAAGGAGCGAATACTCAAGTTCGTGCACACTTTTTCTCATTGCGAGTCGTCACAACTTGGAATGCTCTTCCAGCCAAGGTGACCACAACCCCCTCAGTAGACTGATTTAAGAAGAGACTTGATAATCACGTACTCACATACGGACGATCATCTCCCTCTTGGACAAGCTTTTCATAATGCATATCTTAAGACCTGATGGCTGTTATCATTGCCATCTCCTCAGATCACTTACTTAATCTACCTCGCCTATTATTATACTCCCTGTTGCAACCAACTGATCTGAGGTCTGGTAATGTGATAGTTGCTGGTATTCACAAACCCTTCTGCCCTGAAACAAACGTTTCATTCGCATCACAGGACAAAAAACTCACAACCAACTGCCAACTGACTAGAATTAAACAGTCGAGTGGCTAGACCCACATTCATTGGATACTACCGAACACAAGAATCAAGATCAAAGAAATCAACTGGTTTATACTTGCTCGTGTAAAAGATACTGGATGTTGAAAAAAGATATTGTGATTTGGACACAAATTGATAAATCACTACCAGGTACCTGAATTTATTTCATTAGAGTAGCTAGACTACCACCCGTTGAACATTGACAAATATATGGTAGCGTACGGAAACGGAGAAGTTATACAAAGAAATCGGTTTATACCTGCGCGTGAAAAGGATATTAGGTGTGTATGGTTGGGTTGTCATAGTCACAGTTCCTAAATGGGCGGCTCAGTTGACATAAGATGTTGCATTAAGGTTTTTATTAATCTTTTGAAATCTGTTGGATTCTCGAGGCTAGAAGCAGAAATTTTACGGTTGACTAAATTCGATGACATACGTGCACTACAGTCGATCAAACGGTTCATATTTGAACTTATATATTTTGTCAAATACGGGTATGTGGATGAATTGTGTACTGAGAGTTTTGCAAACTTTTCAGTCACTGAAATCCATAACTTTATATTTCACCACTTGTTGATCTATGGATTTCCTTTAATACGCAAAAATATTGGTGGAAACGTCTCATCAAGGCAATTGTTTCTGGGATCTTTGTGAATCTTAGTTTCTTTTGATGTCCTGACAAAAATTGAGCAAGTATTGATTTTTTCTGCAAGTAAAATGACCAATGAAAGTTTTTTAAAATCAAAATGAACCAATTTCTACCAGTGATTTACTAAGCAATGCGTCTGTACCGCGACTCATTTGGCAACTTGGCCGTTTGCGGATTCAACTGAAGAAGGTGTACCACTTGAAAAGTGAAACCATGAGACATTTCCTGAAATTTTCTGTGGAAAAATCAAATGTACTTTCACCTACACAGTATCGGGCTATCATAGACCCAAATGCTGCCCGTCAGCACATTCAAAATGTATAAGAGAGCGTTTCAAAATTATATTTATTATTATCCAGGAAAGTTGTAAATCATACATTTTGGCAATGGCTTCGTCGTATTTTACTTGCTGATCACAATATGTTGGCCGAAAGTTTACCAAATAAATGGGTATCTGACTGTGCTTGTGAACTCATTGAACTCGTTACAAAACTCTGTAACTTCATAAGTCACTTTAACACCGAATATTCCCATCTCTTCGACGACGTCAAGTCAAACCTACATGAAACTCTCACATTAAAAGACGGTTGCAGTTTTAATGAGGACATTTTATGTATACATAAAGGATTACTTATTCTTACGGATCTTTTAATGTGTGTAGACTTCGCTACCGATACTCGATTACTACCATGTGATTTTCGGTATAATATTGTAAGTAACGAGAAAGAGCTTTCAAAAACGGCAGAGAAGTACGGTTTGGTTTTCAATTTAGGAGATGAGTGTGCTAAGTTAAAGTTAATAGTTGATAAGATGAAGACAGAATGTAAAGTCATCAAAAACAGTTTAACTCGTGATTTGCAAAGAATGGGATCGGATATATTATCTAGTGCTCTGCTTTTGTATAATAGCTGACTAGTGGAGATTTTAGGATACCTTCATTACTTATAACCTGTGTTCACTGTTGTCAACTAATATGATTTGTAAATATATTAATTTTTCCGTACTTGTATTCCTTTTCGAGACACCATTATTGTCTGCTATTGATAATAAATTTGATGATCC